AATGCAGAAGGTGAGCATACGCTCAAGAGGTCAGAAGCAGCATCTGTGTTTCAACAGGCTAGAAATGATCATCTTTTTCTTTTTAGGTCCTTTAAAGCTTGAACGTAAGTTTTGGAGAACGTGTTTTCAGGGTTTGTTCTCTTCAGCACTCTCTCATACTGTCATAGAATCGTTATGGTTGGAAGAGACCTTAAAGATCATTAAATCCAACCGTTAACCTAGCACTGCCAAGTCCACCACTAAACCATGTCCCTCGGCACCACGTCTACACATATTTTAAATACCTCCAGGGATGGTGACTCCACCCCTTCCCTGGGCAGCCTGTTCCAATGCTTCACAACCTTTTCTGTGTATAAATTTTTCCTAATATCCAATCTAAACCTCCCCTGGCCCAACTTGAGGCCATTTCCTCTTGTCCTAATGTACAAAGAAAAACGTTTTTCAGGTGCAATTATTCTTACAAAATGTGTGAACAGAGCGAAAAGGTGCTTAAAATGGAAAGAAGAAAGAAGGGTGTTGTGCTGCCCTCATCCCCAAACTGCCGTCGCCGCCTCCTCCTGGCAAAACGTCACTCTCGCTTCAGCACGGATCACGCAGTGCCAGGGTGGGGATGGTGGGCTCCCAGCATCGCTACTGCACAGGATGGGCTTTTCATTATCCAGTAGGCAACCGCACAGCAAGATCACGGGGTGGAAGTTTGCTGAAAGCGGTCAAAACACCGAGGGCTGATGGTGAATTCATGGGGTGCATTCCCCTGTCTCACTGGGGAAGCTGCAGTGATGGGCTTGATGTTCCCTCTGCTGCTGATCCCAAAGGGGTCTTCTGCGCCTTTGGTTCTGAGCAGTATTCAGTTTCTGTAATATTCAGTTGTTATTTCTATAATCTTCAATTTTTCATTTCATCGTCTGGCAAAGATGGGAAACTCCAAAGCCTTTAGTCTTCACTGGGGCCTGTTCTCCAGCAATAGGCTCGAAACCAGAGCCCAAACCCACTTACCTTCCTGATTGTCCCTAAAGCGGTAATTAAGATTGAATGTTGAATGATTGAATGATTGAATGTTTGGCCACCACGGCAACATTCACAACTTGCAGGTTGAAAGGCGGCCATCGCGATGGCCAAATAAATCTGCGGCTGGATCGAAATGTAGCGGTCAGGTGTGTGTCTGCAGAAATACGTTATTTTCTGCTTCAGATTAGAAGAAGGGGAAAAAAGACAACTATGATCACTCCCAGCCTGAGGCCTTGTATGTCAACTTTCCGCCTCTACGCTATGTTTTTTATGGCTGAGCTATGAACCCGGGAAAATAGGAGATTCTAACGGAAACAGTGACAGATGCTTATCTGTACTAGCACAAATAGCGCTGTCATAACGATGCTGCGGGAAGCATTGTTTCCACTGTGATGGAGAGCTCCTGGTGAAGCAATGTCATGTTTATTCATGGTTCTTCAGCCACTTTTAAGCCTGCTCAAAAGCTCAAAATCAGCCGGGTGATGCTGAGAACAGCTGGCCATCCCCACTGCCAGGGAAACAACTCCCCTGCTGCAGAGCAGTGACTCCGTTCAGATGAAACGAGAGCTGATGCACACGTTCACCCATCCTTCACCCCAAAACTGACCTTTAGAAGCAAAAAAAAAGAGGCTTTTCTGCTGCATTTCTAAATTCCAGCTGGGACCAGGGGCCTGGCAGTGCTGAAATACCAGAAACTTTTCTCTGTGTTTGCAGGGCTAAATGATCTACTACCTAAAATGCTCATGACCACTCAAAACCACAGGCACCTAGAGTTGGTAGTTTTGTTGGTAACGGAGACGGAGGGAACTGTGGTTGGAAATTTTAAGGAGAAATATGTAGAAATGGAACCGCTTGGCTGACAGGAGGTTCTAACTTTTCTTGTGCCGGCAGCCAGCTCTGCCTGTCCTCTGCCAAGGGCACAGCAACACACGCGAGCGTCCTTCTGGGCTACTTTTCTTTCGCAAAGTTTATTGAAATCCGTCCAATGGCTCTTTTGCTTTTCTCCCCTCTCCTTTTATGAAGAGATCTAAAGGGCATCAAGTCGTGTGTTATACGGGTAATACTCAATGTATGTCTCTTCAGGGGGCTCTCACTCCAAATGAGCCGGCAGAGCGCTGCTCTCTGAACTGCTTTTTTTCGGAAGGCTCTCATATAGAAAGAAGTCGTCTGTGGGTATAAGGTTCGGGATGGCTGAAGGGTGGGAAATATTAATGCATGCTAGATCCAGGTGGGTTCGTTACATCGATAAGGTATTAGGGCACAATTATTTCAAAACCACAATGGAATTGCAGAGTTGCATCGCATCAAACTACTACTATTAATGATCTATTTGTTACACCAAATAAGGTGTACTCACAAGGTCCCTGGAGCTACAGTGACACGGACTATTTCATGTGGCACAAAACAGCTTTTATCATATGGGCATATGAAATCGTTAATATGTTGAATGATAAGGATGTAATACTCCTGTGTAATGCCCAGAGAGCAGTCGCTAGCCGCTCTTGAAAGTTGTTCCTTACGCTGCACCTGAGTCTTTTTTTCCTCCTCCTCTTTGAAATAGTTTGCAGACTGTAGGATTCTCCAATCTCTTCTTAATTCTTGCCGCCGCCTTATCCTACCGCTGTCTTGTTTCACTGATTTCATTGTGGGAATGAGATTCGGAGGCTGGCAGAGTTGCCAGCTCGCTGGGTTGCGGGGAAGGGGACTTTGCAGGCTCCGGGTAGTACATTTGTTGTGTTTTGCAAACATTCAGTAAAAAGGTGCCTAACAAAGAACCACCTGGTTCTGCTCAGTGCCCGGCGCAGGAGCGGGAATGAGGGCGCATTGTTCAGAAATGTGAATATTTGTGCTTTTTTAATGTAAAACCTTCTTTGTGTGTGCACAGATATATTTTTTTTTTCTGTTTTGAATAAAGCTTTCTGCAATATAAGAGAACCCAACTCTAATGCATCATTCTCCTCTATACATCGCGAAGGCCCATCGCTTGATGACAGCTTTTTGCTATTAGCAAGGATGGGCCGATGCTCTTTGTTCAGCTGTTTATTCACGTTGGTTAGCAATTTCCGGGAAATAAATAATAATAATAAAAAAAGTGTATTAAAAGAATGCAGCACATGCTGGAAAAAATGACTTCCTCAGCATCTTCCCATTTTGCTGCAATGCTTCTCTATAGTGGAAAATATTGCTAGTAGGGTATTTGAAAAATACTAGCTTAGGGAAGTTAGTGTATGCATTTAAACAGACGGCTATTGCTGTAGTTCTCCTCTGCTGCACCTGCATTTTCCCATTCCCTCCAAACCATCCATTTCCAAACAGAAGAAAGCACCTAATCTTTTTCCATATTACAGAGGCTGTAAAATGTCACCCAGTTACCCTCCAAATTTCCATTAGACTGTAGATATTTCCCAGTAAGAAACACAATCTTGGACCCATCGAGATGCTCAGAATCCACAATGCGCCTTGCTGTTTTCTTGTGCTGCGTTAACCACAAGGACAGCTCAAACCAAAGTACGGTGTGGTTTATATTTCTGTAGTTTTAAACTTCAAGCCACTGGTTCTTCCTGTGCGCTTCTCTGAAAAGACTGTGATTCCTCTTCAAACCCTTCCTCTTCCGTGAATGACCCTGACCATGGTAGAGCAGCACAGGGTTAAATAACGTTTCCTGTGAACGATTTTTGAGAAGTGAGCCCGTGGCGATGAGACACTGGTCTCAGTAAATGCTGTATTTTCTCTCTATGCCCGAATAAATTTGAGTTCATCTGGAACTCACTCCCACACCTTTCTCTGTGGGCAAGGCACTAAATACAAGCAGGTGTACCCATGCAGAAGTTAATCATTTTGATGCTTTGGGAATTTTATCCAGGTTATTCATCAATCACCGGCAATCATTTCTATAGCTTCACCCCTGCCAGGAATCATTTAAAAACGATGGGCAATTAGCTGAAATAAATAGGTCTGTTGGGATAAACAGCTCTGAAGGGCCATTCGGCCGCTCACTGCTGTTGCTGTGAGCTTTTCATCCCACCGCCGGAGAGGTAGGAGTGGTAGGAGGGAGGTGGTACTCAGCAACCTCCTCCTGCCCCCAGTTTCACCAGTCAAAAACTCCTACTGGGAGACCTCCAGTGGCCTCTGCACTCGCTTCCATCCCTGAGGCTGTGTCTCGTGGGTTTACATTCGTGTCACCGCTGCAGCAGCGCAGGACTGTGGTTTCCTCCTGCTAATTTCAGTCCCTTACAAGCCGTGTGCTGCAAGGATAACGCAGCATCACCGAGCGGCCGCACAAAGACCTCAGTGTGAAGGGGGTGTGGGGGAAGAGAAATAGCTTTGCTTTGTCTGTTTGAAAATTCAATGATTTCAACACATTTATCAAATTTTAAATAATTTATGTCTTGACAGGCCTTATCAATTTTGCAAAGCACACACATTAACCAGATACAATGATCTCATATTAGCTTTTTCAGCATCTTACACTGGAGCCCAGAAAGATTAATAAAAACTCAGCCCATCATCAATTAAATGGAAAAACATAAAATTGTATTCCATTATAGCTTTTTTTTTTTTTTGCAAGAAAATGATGACGGGTTCTAATAATTCATCACAACAAGCTGAGCTTGAACTTTACTGGTTATTAAATACGCTTTTCCCAAAGGCAGGGGCCGTGATGGGTTTTATGGCAGCAGATGCGATTGCTGTCAGGAA